AGCTCCGTCGTATTTGATCGACGTCCGGAGGACAGGATTATGACTAGCCACAGCCTGCCAGGTGTATACAAGCCGATCGATGCTTGGGCAAAGCTGGCGTGTATCCCACCGCAGAGTATATGTTGGCAAATTTCCATGGGGCGATCGAGAAAGGCATTTGCGCTGCTGCTCGGTACATTCGCTTTCCTCCTGGAGCTCAGAAATGGCCATCTTGAGATGCGCTGGTCGTGATCCTCTTCTGTATGGCGGCGGCTTCTGGAAGGTGAAAAGGAACGGTAAGCAAAAATAGTAGGAAGGTTCTTAATATTTGTATAACGGATAAATTGAAAGGACCCGTTGGGTGTACTTGATATTTGATTCTTTATAAAAAAAGACGCTTCCACTTCAAGTGCACATCGACCGATGCATATTTATACTGCGCCGAACTACGATTGGGAATATCAACGCGAGGAGCGGATCATGTTGTTGCGCCGAATCTGCCTGTTTCCGTACTTGTCGTATTCATTTTACCATCTCCAGCAGCGATTCAACTAGGCTGGCGCCCTGAAGAACGAGCTGCTCAAGCTGAGTCGCCATCTGGATCTATGATTATGCAGTAGTCCAAAAGTCAATGAAGGAAGTAGAAACCAAACGCCATCATTTTGAAACAACCCACAGGGCTCCTGGCCCCCGAAGCCTGGCAGAGGCGTCATCAGCCCTGGCAGCTGGTGAAATTCGAATGAGACTATTTGACCCACGCACAATCCTTCCACGTGTTAATTGAAACCTAGCAAATCAATATATAGATGTATTTCTATATATATACATATGTGTATCTCTGTGTGCGAGTCGAAAACACCCCTAGCCTGTCGTGCTATTTCGTATCACCCGATATTAGCCACGAGGATACCATGCTCAAAGTTCGGGTGTTTCAAGTAGTGGCTATTCGAATCGAGAGCCTACCAGGATAAAAGGAACATTGTGAATGCCCAGTGGAGACTAACTTTTTCGTCAAGCTGCGGTGCGTGTAATCCAAGCGCACCGCAGCATGAAGAAGCCTTGGCTGATCAAGCTATATTCAGCGAGGACTGTTCATAAGTTAGTTTGGAGTGCCACGTTTTGGAGATTGTGTGTCACTTTCAGGGTTGGTAACAGCACACATGGCATTAAATTTAGCTATACGTCCTACGTTAGAACTATAAATAAGCGGATTATACAAGTAAATATCGTACGGCGTGCTGATTGAAAAAATAAGCTTGAAAAATGCGCTTGCGCTCGGCTGGAGCACGGTATTATGGGACACTCACAATGAAATTAACTCTCCGAGTAAAAAGGACAAGGGATCCCTAGGAAAGCAGTTCGTATAAACGACGGGACCCCATGCCGCCTGGTAATAATCTACGCTTGTGGCCAGCAAAAGGAAGTTTGCCCAGGGGAGATGAAATATATGAGAACAACCTTGGAAGAGGTTCAGGACCACGTGAGGGTAGAATCCGGGTAACTAACTATAGGCGGTTAGTTAGTTAACTAATGTCAACTGGTTAGTCAGCCTTAGAGATGCATCCAATCCTTGGTTTAAACATAAACATGATGGCCCTGATGAAATCCCCCGATGAAAAAAACTGCGGATGCAGTGACGCACATAACCCAAAATTACCACGGAGGTTAAGTAAAGCCTAGTTTCAGTTATTTCGTATACTTCGTATTGTGCATAGGATCCATCCACATGGGCATGTTGCCAGCTGACAAAATTCTAAACAGCCCCTGGGGTTCCGAGGGGCATGCTTACCGCCCTGTCAATCGGATATCGTTTGCCTGAGCAACAATAAGAAGGGTTGTCTCAGTGTTAGCTAGCCCAGTGAATCCCTCCTGCTGACTGTACAACTCCAGTTTCTCTCTTGTGGGAAAGCCTCACTTGCCATTGATGCCTCGTGGTCCGCTGTTATCCCTCCACTTTTATAGACCAACAGGCCCTGCCTCACAAGCTGGGGTGAAATCTTCCAATTCAACATTATCAGTTCCTTCGCTACGCATATAAGACTCTATTTTCCTAACTTGGCTAAACCTAGAACCTCATTGAGAAGAATTACATTCGCCTGACTGCTTCCTCTTTACTTTGTCTAATTTCTTTAATACTTCGCGTGTCATCATAATACACTGCCATAAACAATTTGGTCTAACTATCGATCACCGTGCTATTACTATCAATTCTACAGCTATGCCTTTGGCCTTGACATTCGCAAAGCCCAGCCCGCAGGCAGCAGAGGTCCTCTTGCTGGAGGAGTATTCGAAACCGGAACCAAAGCACGATGAAGTTCTGATCGAATTCCTTGCTGCCCCAGTCAACCATCTGGACCTTCTAGTTGTCGCAGGCAAATATCCTATAAAGCCAAAATCCCAGCTCAATGGGAACAATGTAGGTGGCTTTGACGGTGTAGGCCGCATTTTGTCGTGTGGCAAAAGCGTCGACAAATTTACCCCGGGTGATCTTGTCATCCCAAAAAAGCCGGGTCTAGGGACATGGCGTACACATGCAACATTGAGCGCGGACGATTTGATCGCGATCCCCACTATTCCGGACGTTACGTTTGCGGCGATTCTCAAAACATGCGTGCTTCCCGCTTATTTTTTACTCGAAGACATGAAGCAGCTGAAGCCAGGCGACTGGATTATCCAAAACGCAGGCTTGGGTGCCATTTCGCAGATGGTGACTCAGTTTGCGCATTTACGCGGGGTGAAGGTGATCTCCATCATTCGCGATCGTTCGCCGGCGACAGACTGGAATACGGAGGCTGATATTGTTCTCAGCGAATCGGAATTACCAAACGCAGAAATTCTTATGGGAAAACATATAGTTCTCGGTCTAGACTCCGTGTTCGGACGGTCGGGAGAAAAGATCGCCAGCTGCCTCTCAGCCCACGGAACTTTCGTAAATTATGGCCAGCTGAGTGGTGGGGGCCCAACAGCCTCCTTCAATGTTACACATCGGCAGGTTTTCTGGGATCGTTTGACATTTCGGTGCTTTCGAGTCACCGAACAAACCGCTCTGCGCACTGATTCCGAAATCAAAGACCTCTATGCCTGGTTTACCGAACTCTTTGGAGATGGCAGATTGAAACTCCCCAAACTGAACGTTGTCAGCTGGTCCGGCGAGCGGGAGAATGTTGCCGCTAACATTAGGGCGGCGATAGCGAGGCAGCAGAGTTCCATTTTGGGAACACAGAAAACAGTCTTCCTGTACACATCTGCTACGAAGGCGCCCCAATGCATGATCCCATACGTCAATATAGAAACAGCCTCTGAAGGTATTGCTGCTGCCTTGAAAAAGATGCCCATGAAAAGACATATCTTTTATCTTCTAGCGCATTCTCCAGGCCTTTTCCCTCCGATAATGGGGGTCTACTCAGCGTTCTTCCAGAAAGCTACCCGGACCTTGCCGCTGTTGGATTGGCAGCTCATAGTTCTGCGAATTGCGTCTACTCTAAAATGCCAATACGAATGGGATGTCAACGCACCCGTTGCCAAAGTTTACGGAATGAGCGAGGAAGCCATGAGTGCAGTAAGGGCGTGCAGAAATATTACTCTGCAGGGAGGCAACGTGAACCACTCAAACTTTTTCTCAAAGAGACAGCTATTGATACTAAAATTCGTTGACGAGCAGCTGAAGACTTACACCAATGAGGAGGGTACGATGGCTCAGCTACTTGGCGTTCTGAGCTATGCGGAGTTGGTTGAGGCTGTTTTCGTGGTTGGATTCTATGTTATGATCGCAAGGCTGATCAAGGCTGTGGGGATTGATCCGGATGCGGAGATTCCTGGATTGGAGGATATGATCAGGGCTGGAGTAAACTAAATTGTTGTCATACATGGTGATCAGAGCTATAAATATAGAAAACAAGTTTTCAGGTTCAATGTGCTACAAACTCCGTATAACTTCCCTAGGTGAACCCTAATATCGCCCCCAGCTGAACAAGAGGGTTAGTTAATAGCAACATGCTATACTCTTCGGGTGAACTTAAATTTAACGAATAATGTAGACTTCGTATCGAATTTCCCTATTGCATGTAGTGTAAGCAATGCCTCCTTGTGAAATGTAGAACAATATCAAGACTGTCAAGCTGGTCAGCATTTCCATTTATTTTTTCAACTGAACTGCATGCACCTGTATCAATACGGAGTAGTTTGAGGGACAAAATAAGGGCGATCATTCCGGCGTGAAGTTGAAATAAACCTGACGCTAAAAACAATGCCAAGAACCCGCTACCACACCCCGTTCTCAAGCGGACCGACAGCGTGAACCTAATTTTGACCTCGGGTATATTGCCAGGAGACTTTGCTACGTAGTACATACAACTCCAACAATACAACCGTGGCTTGTTTGGTAAGGAGTGAAACCAATCCATAATACGATATCTGAAGAGCACGACTTCATTTTGTACCACCCAAGGAGTAGCCAATGGCTACTGGGCGGACCAACGACATCATGAAAATACCCTAATCTGGAAAAATACGAGATGGCAGTTTATCTGAGACTTTTGCGATGAATCACCACGAAACTTCTAAAATATCCAATGACAAAGGGGTTTATACGAGTGGATTATAAATTTCAATGATTTTTGTGGCGTTTCCAATGCAATGGCCTGCCAAAATCAAATATCTCTCTGGGCTGTTGAACTTCAGATTAATTCTCCTGGAGGGCTCAAAGGTTGACATTATTTTGAGAGTAAAAGACTCCGAAGGCAAACAACAACACCATTTGACATTAGAAGCTTAATTCATGATTGCTTGTCTGCTACCAGCTCTACCGGCGACTGGAAATATCCAACATGCCCTCCAGGATCAGTGCCTTTGCGCCTAACCTCCAGTTCGATAATCTTCAAACATGCTTATTTTTGCTGGCTTGTTTATTCTTCGTTAGCTGCATATGGACTAGGTATAGTCCGGGCATTCGAAATGTGCCCGGTCCATTTGTCGCCAGCTTCTCAAACCTATGGAAGATATATAGGGTTTTACAAAAGGATATGGCATGGCGGAACATCGAGGTTCACGAAAAGTACGGTCCTCTTGTGCGGATAGGGCCAAACCATGTGTCAGCATCTGATCCAGAGGCTTTGAAGACGATATACAGCTTTACCAATATCTTCCCCAAAGTAGGTCACAGCATTCTCATTTACCTACAATCTCTCAGGAGCAAGAATCAGGAATGGCACGTATCTGCATTTTTTTTTCTTTTTTTTTTTTCCTCCAAATTACATAGGTAACAGATCTATTAGTCTGAATTCTATTCCATCGGGGAGGGCCTTTATGAGGGCAAGAAATTACCCACGCTTTTCACAACGCGGAGTAATGAGTACCATGCACAGTTGAAGCGGGCTTCAGCCAAGGGTTTCTCGATGACGGCCATCTCGGAGTTAGAGCCATACGTAAACGGGTGTATTGAGTTATTTCTAAAAAAAGTCGAAGAGCGCTCAAATGATGGCAAAGTGGTCTTTGATATTGGACCGTGGATGCAATTCTTTGCATTTGATGTTCTTGGAGAGGTCAACTTCTCTAGAAGCCTTGGGTTCTTGGAGACAGGCGCCGATGTTGATAACAACATTGCCGCAATTGATCAGTTTTTGTCTTATGTTTCTCTGGTAAGCTATGTTCTGTTAAGCTTACTCTGGCAGCGGAAATTATAACTTTTCTCCAGATCGGACAGATACCCACCGCAAACTATTTTTTCCTGGGAAATCCAATTTTACCGTTAATCTTTTCGAGCTATGAGAAAATGAACAAAGTGCAAGAGGTGCGTTAGCCAACCTTGTCTCCTGTCGCCTCTGTCAGTGCACTGGGTGTATTCGCTGAAGGTACTATACAAAAGTTCGCTATCGCCATGGTTAAGGAACGCAGACAGAACCCGGTTTCTCGAAAGGATATACTTGCAGCTTTATTTGAGGTTCATGACTCTTCTCCTTCAAAGCTATCATCTCGCGAGATCGTTGCCATTACAACTACCAATATGTGAGCTATACCCCTGACAAAGCAGTCTAAGGTTCAAATATTAACATGAACTAGTCTCGCTGGTTCCGATACGACGGCAATTACCCTAAGGGCCATATTCTACTATCTGTGTAAAAATCTGTCGATGTATCGAAAACTTCAACGGGAGGTAGACAGTGCAGTTGAGGCGGGTCGGCTGTCCAAACCCGCTACATACAAAGAAACTACGGCATTAACATACCTGTAGGCTTAGCATTATTAGTATTGTTGCCGAGAGTATGCAGGAATGATTGCTAACTTGTTCATGTAGTGGTGCTGTGATCAACGAAGCCATGCGCATTCACCCTCCAACAGGATTTATTTTGGAACGTGTCGTCCCAGAAGGTGGTGTCACACTAAATGGCACATATCTGCCAAAGGGAACTATTGTGGGAGTCAATCCCTGGGTGATAAATTATAACAAACAAGTATTTGGTGAGGATGTCAATGTGTTCCGACCTGAGCGCTGGCTTGAGGGGAGTCCAGAAGAGAGAGCCGACAAAAATAGAAATATGTTCGCGGTAAGTGCTATTTGATTTTATTGTATTTGTCAAACGTAGAGTGTGTTTACTGAGATAGTATTCACTTTAAGTTTGGTGCCGGTCCCCGTGTCTGTATTGGAAAGCACATCAGTCTTTTGGAGATGTGGAAACTTGTGACAGAATTTGTCCGTCACTTTGATTTCGAGTTGGAGGATCCCAAAGCGGAGTGGAATATACAGGCTGGATGGTTTGTAAAACAAGAAGGCCTAAGATTGAAGTTCAAGAAGAGGGTTTGAGTGACCTTTTCTATTGCACAGTTCCGTTTTTCTTGGTGCCGAAGAAAAGTTTGATATTTGCACACAGTACAGTAGGTATAGGTATTTAGGGACGATTTTACCTTATAATATTATGACATCTGCTACACCTTTTGAAGATTATAAATCTCATTAATGTTCCTTCCTCTCTGCAGTCTTGCTTTCGTGGCTTTGGAAGACGAGGATCATAAGTAAAATATTTATACAATGTTTTTAATCAATATGTGAGTCGTAACAGAGATTTCACACTTTAGAGATAGATAACTTGAACTTGCTCATATATCAGCAAGTTAAATGAACTATTTATAAGATTCTATCTGAAGGTATTTTATATATTATCCAGAACTCTGATGACAAGTATATGAACAGATCAAAGAATATGAGAGAGAACAAGTGTAAAAAGTTTAACTGAATAAGCATGAGAAAATCTTTCACATTGAATCTATTCTCTTCACTGTTGTCAGAATGAGAATTCATATAAAGATTAATAGTAAATCAGAATAGTATTTCTGTCTCTACTGCGGAGTATTTAAACTAGTACGGAATTGGATATGGCTCCCGGAGAAGTGGATATTGAGAGAAGCTTTTTTGAACGACACTCCTCTGCCCTGTCTCGTCCAACAACAATTTGAAGATCAACCCGACCTGTGAGGGCCAACAATACTTAGCTTCCAGCAACAAGACGCTATACTAGAAGGTGGCTCCATTTGAATTTGTGACCCCTTGCCCGTTCTCCATCTGTTGGTCTTTCAGCTTAATGAAGCTCACACCATCAAAAACAGGCAGCATCACGACATCTACCCTAGGATCCTCGATGACCGCATTGTTGAATTGCCTCAGTGCCTTACCGCATGCCGTCCAATATGGGCGGACACTATCAGGAAGGGTTGGGTTGAACTCCGGTGAGATCGTCATGCCCCGAGCAAACACTAACAACTTGTTTAGCGATGATGTGCAAAAGAGGTTTGGATTGAACGTGGGAAACACACCATTGTCACACATAATCAAACCGTTCTTCGAAAGGAGGTTTCTCTCGAGAATGGTGTTGACATAACCCTCGTATCCATCCTTGTTGGCATCAACGAAGATGAGATCGAAAGTGCCCTCAAGTGTTTTGAGCCTTTTATCAAGCACAGAATATCAGTAAGATTAGTCGGCATGAATTGATTGTTCTTTGCTGAACACAGTGAAAAACGCGCTGAATAGAGGATATATCATACGACTCGTCGGCTGGGCCCTCAATTAGGGTCACTCTGTCGTTGACGTTGTACTTGTCAAAAATTCCCCTAGCAGCCGCAATCATCTCCGGGCTGAGTTCCAAGGTGATTATTTCTGCCTGGGTAGCCTTTGTGCCTTCGTACCACGCCAAAGCGCTATATCCGGAATAAGTTCCGATTTCAAGAACTGTTTATCAAAATTAGCCCCCAAGCATGCAACAACGGGACATCTAGGTTCCTCACTTCTTCGTGGCTTGCGATCTTGAGCCAAAAATATCATCCACGAGCCCTATGAAATCATCAGCCTCGTTTTAACATGTAAGTGTTTCTTGCAGCCTCCGCTTTCCTGGTGGTTCGAGCTTGACTTACCTGTATGGGAGACGACATCTTATCCGCGTCTTTGAATGATTTCGCGGTGTAGCTCCATACCTCTTCCATCATCTGAGGAACGCCATTGGTGTGTTTGAGGCAATACTCGCTCACTTCCTTAGCGACCTCAGGCTATACGGAAAGTTAGCTGATGGCTGCAGCAGTGGGTGGCATTGAGAACCTTACACTAAATGGTAAGATGCTATTCAACATTTTTGTTTCTGAAACGTGTTGTCCGGCTTTCTAGATAAGCACACACTTTTTGTTGTTAAGTCGATTAAGCTGAGATCACTTCTGACAGTGTATGCAACGATAACTACAGATCACAATTGCGAACCAGCGCCCTTTTATGCTAAACACCCCATTGACGTGCTACGATGTAACTGATAATTTACCACGATATGTTTAATTACGCCAATGTTAAATTTACCTAGGTTGTTGTGTACGGGAAGTTTATATATACATAAACTACAAAATATCTGCAAATCTGGACTCTCAGCCTGACTCTCTTATTCGATACTCAATATACCCCCGAAGAAAGACTCTTACATCTCATACAAATCATCTTTTTGACTGCCCATTTCCATTGTCAAGCCTCTAATGAAGAGCGCAGTTTTACAGCTGTGGTGGCGGAATCCAAAGTTATGAGATTTAAGAACTGCTGACATTTTCGTATGTGCCGCCGCTATGTATTTATTTTTGGCGGGCGTTGTAACTTAGTACCAGAAATAACCTATGTATGTGCTGTCATGAATGCTAGTGGGGAATGAATTACGACGCCATATCTTCAGGCTCCCTGGCTTCAGCCTTCTCCGAGCCGCCTTGTACAGTACATTTGGCCAAGCTGATTGTGTATGTCTTTCTATTCTCGACCTTTTTACCTATTTCGGTTTCTGGGCTCAGCAGGCAATACCGTAAATGTCCGAAACATACAGATACATGTACATGTACATGTGTAGCACATAGCCAAATCGGATAGGGATAATATCAAATTGGCATGGAATAAAAAGGAATTTTGCAACCTTGGTAGACTCCCGAGCTGAAGGGGCTGGGACGTCGATAAACATGTGTGTTGCCAAATATCCTCTTCGTATTTTTCCTGTCTACAGCGCAAATGGTGTAACCTTGAGCCGATCCGTGAATCCCAGAGCTACTTGTTCATCACCGCCCAAGAGGTTTTAGTTGATCGTGATTTTGGAAAAGGTGGACGTGGCTCAAAATATGCGCCCGTAACGAAAACTCCCATGATGTAAACTGGTCATACTTCGGATTCATAGATAAAATCTCTTGATTGGTTCTCAAGCCCCTATTCTTGACAAGCCCTAGTTCTAATCTCTATCGTCTAGCTCAACCTTAATCTTAGTTATATAACTTAAAACATATACTGATTGTATTTGTCCCAAGAGGGCTCGAAAAAAGAAAACGAGCCCAACTGATGAATCGGATTCGTCACAATCAACTTCATTCCTGTTACACAAAGCCTACAGGAACGAGAAGCTGATTAGAAATCAGATATGCAGAAATTCAGCTTTGGGTTTCCCCTTTGGCAAAAGGTGCCTGGCTCGCTGCCCGGCTGACCTTTTATTGAAAAAAGACGACTTGGAACTCTAGGGCTTGATCTTCTTCAAAATGCGTTGGAAGGGCTATCACTTTTGCTTGTCTCCATTCTATCTTGTGCTCTTGTTCTACGATTAATCTACACTGATCATGTCGGCCCCCCAGCAACCGGAATCTGACTCTGTCCAGAATGGACTCGGTGATAAATCCGCAGCGATAACCGACCCGGAAAGCAATTTGCTATCTCCATCCCCATCCCCTGAAGCTCGCAAAAAAAGAGGTATTTCGGTGAGGAATCCAATCGCTTCTAGGGCCTCCTTTTGAGAAACTGGCTAACAGCGGTCCCTTAGTGGTTCTTGGTCGTTGCCAGCACGCTTTCATGTATATTTCTCTATGCCATAGACAACACTATTACTGCCAATGTTATCCCGGTTTGTGGAACTTCCTCCTAGCTATTCCTATAGACAATCTCGACTGACTACTTCCTCTCCAGGTGATCGCATCGGACTTCCAAAATACTGATAAGCTTGCATGGCTGTCGGTTGGGTAAGTGAAGGCAAATGAAGAGAAAAACATAGGAACTGCCGTAGTCCAGCGCAATAATCTGATCACTGAATATCTAGTTTTATGATCGGCGGTGTCGCTGCGGTCCTTCCATTCGGTAAACTCTATGGGCTATTCGACGTTAAGCTTCTTTATATCTTGTCTGTTCTCCTATTTCAGGGCGGATCGGCTCTTTGCGGTGGCGCCCCTAATATAGATGCCTTCATTATCGGACGAGTTATTGCAGGTGCCGGCGGCAATGGCATGTATCTCGGCGTTATGAATATTCTTTCCATCAGCACCAACGACAAGGAGCGGCCTATGTATCTGGGCCTCGTGTAAGTCAATATTCTCCTCGTCAAAAAATATATCTCCACTAATCCAGAACATATAGCGGACTTGTATTTGGAACAGGAACTGTCGTTGGGCCCCTTATAGGAGGCGGTTTTGCCGAATCAAGCGCTACATGGAGATGGGGCTTCTATATCAACCTTTGCGTCGGCGCCCTTTTCGCTCCTGTCTACCTCTTTCTCATCCCAGGATTTGACCCGCGCGGATCTCAGAAGATCCGTTCTCGTCTGCAAGACTTTGATTATTTAGGAGGAATACTCAGCGTTGCCGTACTTGCATGTATAATCATGGCTATCAACTTCGGCGGTCCAATGTACGCTTGGAACAGTGCACAGATTATAGTTCTCTTCGTTCTGTCTGGCGTACTTGTTATCACCTTCGGTTTTCAACAGGCATTTTGTTTTATGACCAAGGAAGAGCATCGCATGTTCCCTGTCTCGTTCTTGAAAATGAAGGAAGCAGTTCTGCTCTTTATTTGCATGGCAGCTTCTAACGCGGGTGGATTCATCCCGATATATTATATCCCAACATATTATGCCTTCGTCCGCGGCGACGAACCTATGAACTCAGCTGTCAGACTCCTACCGCTAATTATCCTCATTAGCGTGGTAATCCTCATCAACGGCGCTTTGATGTCTAAGTTTGGATACTACCAGCCATGGTATGTTTCTGGAAGCATTTTAGTTATTATTGGTGGCGTTCTTTTCTGTAAGTATTGCCGTGGAGCACGCATTCCCTTAATATCGTGTTTCTTACCAGCACTCTCTAGCTCGGATCGATGTCAATACGCCAGCACGAAATATATACGGTTACGAGGTTCTTGCTGGAATTGGAACCGGCTGCTATATTCAAGCTGGATATGCTGTTATGCAGGCTTTAACTAAGCCCGCAATGACAGCATACGCGATTAGTTTCATGATGTTAGGTATGGCCCTCATCGCACCAACGATATACCTTAGCTGGAATGAATAGCTGATATCTCATCGATCTAAACGATAGCCCAACTACTTGGAATCACTTTCGGCCTGTCCATATCCGGAGCTGTTTTTGTTAATTACACAATGAACGGTCTCCTCAATACCATCCCCAATGTCAGTCACGATGAAATTGAATCAGCTCTTCTCGGAGTAGGAAGCAATCTTCTGGGGCAACTTCCCACCGAGATCCAGGCGGCTTCCTTAGCAGTCATTGTTGAAGGTATCAAGAAAGTGTATGTAGAGGAACTATTTCCCTTCCCTGGAACCCTTGTAACTATCCACACCAGGTACTGTACTGAAATAATATCTAGATATATTCCGGTCTATGTGTCTGGCGCAGTGGGTCTCGTTGCTTCCATTTTCCTAAATGTAAGATTTGCTACCCTTACCTATCCTATGGTGACACGGCGCTAACGGCTCTTTATAGAGAAAGGGAACGGTACATGCTTAAAAGGCTCTGCTTGGAGGACTGGCGCAGGCGTTGCATCGAGAATGAATACAGATATATATATATATATATATCACAAAAGTAATGGATACGCGCTTTCCTTACATTCTGGGACTCATGGTTTGATATCGTAATCTATTCTGATCAAACCGATATACCGCAACATAATATCATAATCGTCATCTTTCAAAATATGCCCCAAGGTTGCTCATTTTGTCGTCTACTACTTATATCTGTATTAAATGTATTATTTCATCCCATAGGATACCAACATTTCGACGTAGCACCCACGATTTCACAGTGGCCAAGTATAATAACGTGTAAATAATGTCCCTCACACAGGTAACTTCTTGCCGCTATTACGTTCGATGAATATTGCAGCTACGGCCTGATGTCATTCTCCTGGAGGGCACACCCGCGTGCTGGCGCAGTTCCCAAGTCGGTAGCTTCATTTCATATTATAAAGCAGTTTATACAAGCTACAATTGATGATTTAAATATAATTGACCTCTAATTACACTGAAACTGTTAAAAAAATATAAAATTAGTTAATATATTTTTATCACAGTATTTATTACAAAAAACATTCAAATATCAAGAAAGAAAATAAGCTCTATTCACTATAAAATTCTCACAGATTTATAAGAAATGGCTTTTTTTTATATATATTAATTAATTGAGAGATTATAGTTTCTTTTATATATCTCAATGTGAGATGAGAATAAAACAGTGTGAAGAATTAATAGTATATAAAAGATAGTAAGTAAGAGATATATTATATAAATACAAATAGAGGTAATCACTAAAGAAAAAAAATGAGAACAGAAGTATTTTTTTCAGACTTCTTCAGTACTAATTTATAGAAGTATATAATTTACTCAAGTATTGATTTTAATATAGATCTAAATGTACTAGAATTAAAAGAATGAAACTACTGTATATTATATAAAAAAGACAGTGATTATAGTCAGATTAATTACAGACATTTCAAAGAATTCAATAATAAATATTTTAAATTCTTTATTTTAAAATTTACTGTGCGGAGTAGAATAATAATAATTAATATTGACTTGAAGTTGCCCTGATTATCAAGATACACACACTTGTTGCTGTGGCAACACTGCCCCGGTGGCGGCCGCTAGGCCCGCTACTACTTCAATGAGTAAGGGTGGCTCAGCTGTGGAGCCGCTGAGGCAGTCTATAGTGACAAATGTACGGAGTATGTGTCAAACGACGACATTTTTCAAACGTTTTTTCAGTGGTTAGTAAAAGACTTATATTATATTAGTCCCCACATAATAATACTGATTTTATAGTCATACATCTATCTATATATCAATTACACTAGTTCTAAAGTAGTTAGTATCTTATTACTGCATATAACTATGATTTAGTCAGTCTTGACGTTTATCCTTTTTATCATTATTAATGTGTGTGCTCATTGTAACAAACTAGTATAAAATACCCATTTTAACGCTTACTACTACTACGGAGTACTGTCAACCCGATTTTAACTTTTTTTCCTTTCTTTTCGCGGGATTTTCATTGAGGCGAAATGGTACACGTCATAGCGGATCATCTCAGGTTTCTATGACATATAATCTACGGAAAGGGTAATTTCTCGTCTTTGACCGAGTCCCGGGTATGTAGGTGTGTGCACACACTATGTACATGTACATGTACACACACGCAACAACGTGGGGTGGGCAAGTTCGCTTTCCAAAAATATCAAGTTAGTTGCTCGGGTTGTATGTAGGATTCGGTCCCATTCCTACTACAGAATGAATGTATATTCATGGCTGGACTTCACTTGCCGTCTAACATCTGAAGGAGAGGATCAAAGGATGAAACGGGCTTTCTTTTTGATGGGAAATCCAAATCCCCGTCTCGGCTCGCTAGGGAACGGCCAGGGCAGCCCGAGGAAATCAAGCCGAGGGTTGACAGGGCAGGCAGAGGGCATAACTCCCTTGGCTAATAATAGTTAGCTCGCGGGAGGAAGCCAAGCTGCTTGCTTGTTCAGGCTGGGTTTTGTTTACTAGCCAGGCACTTGCGTTGAAAGGTGAGAGAATTTATTTTTCAACTTGCGTGGGTTTGCTTGCCTTGGGAGGACAGGTTCAGGTTCAAAAGTTCTTTTGCCAGTTCTTCCAAAATTCTAGAGTTCCAATAAGATCATCCTGATTGACGCTGTTTGGTTGTTTGTTCTATTTCTCGTGGAACTAGGTAGAAGAAGGTTTTGAGGTGGCCGTGTGGACTGCTATTTCCCCCCCCCCCCCCCCCCCGGCGGGAGCGTCTCGTTTGATATCTTGTCTTGGACTCCACAGCTGGGCACATACGGTACTATATATAGCAGCACACGATATCTACTCAGCGTTGTCACTTTTTTAGTGTGTGCGCCCAGGAGGCATTATTATTATTATTATTATTATTATTATTATTATTATTATTATTATTGTTGGTATGTTTCGTGTGGCAGCGGCATGATGTTGTTTATTGCTTAGCTAACTACAAGCAAAACCGCGTAACAGTAACTAACTACGGGAGCGCGTTGTAAGCGCTATAAGTTAGTTCCTATATGTAGTAACTAGTTAAAGAGGACAGCCAAAGAATGAAATGCCCCTGAGGCCAAGCAAGCATGCCTGGCGATCGATGCAGATCGCAACGACGCGCGATCCAGACTTGCATGTAGATTACAGAAGTAATTCCAGTTATTATTTAATATTCTTGAGATAACTACGGAGTAACTAACTAGTAGTAACTACATAACTACATCATTGGAGCTTCCTTAGCTTAATAAGAAGGTTTCCCACAGTGAACCCTTCTGGTCGCTTAAAAAAGAACAGAGATAGAAGCATCCATTATCCATTCCATTCCATCTACTGGAATACCTCATCCGGCTTTGGCCACACGAAGGACAAACTCAAATCCGCAGACCCAGCGATGTAATTGGGCTGTGTTTTTTGGCAACCTGGGAGGATCCGCTGGTCGAGCCTCATCAAGCGATCGAGGTTATCGGGGGGGCGTCGTCCATTCCCATCCAGTTGCATCCACTTGCTCGTCTCCCTCTGCAGATTCAATATTATTCCTCAACATTTATTATTAAGTTATTGTCATGTGTTGGTGACAGATTGCCCAGCAATCCAATCCGCCACCATAGGCCCGTGGGCCGTGGAGCGACGGAACCTGACAGATCAATCGCAAAGAATGTGCCCCGCTCTTGGCATTTCTCCTGGTCGAATATCAATATTGGGGGGGATCGATATCCAAACAAAAAGCATCTATCTATCTTATTGGCAGGCCCTAAAGTGTTTAAGGCTACCTAGGTACCTAGTTAGTACCGGAGTAGTGGGTGATTCCAACCAGCCTTTGCCGCAGATTCAAAATCGAAAAAAAAAAAAACAAAAAAAAAACAAAGACAGAAAGAAAAGAAAAGAAAAGAAAACACGGGAAAATGTGTGCATCCACAAACTGGGGATGGGGATTGAGGGGGGATTCCAAGATTGATCGGCTGTTATTCTTGTGAAACCACCTGGGCATCACAGGAATCAATCAAACACACAAAAAAAAAAGGGGGGACTTAACCACTTGTCGCTCGACAAGCCGCCCTGGAAAAGCAGCCCCAGTTGGCCACTCCACTGACTGGCGCTGGCTGGTTCAAGCACTGCAGCAGCGCCCTAAATGGTAGGTTATTCGGCGGGCGGCGGCAGAAGGTTCAGGAGTCTAATCTTGTATGCAAGAGTCTATCTTCGCGAGCCACAGTTGCGAGTTCCCAGCCGCTTCCGCCATAGTAGCAAGTCGTCGTCACGAATCGCTTGTCGTTCGTGGCTGTTGTCTTTATAAAGCGCGATGTTCCCCTCTCCCCCCTTGCTCCCGCCTGGGGCTTTAAGCAGCATATCCTGTGGCTATTTCTTCTTCTTGTTGTTCTTCTTCTTCTTGTTCTTCTTCTTCTTCTTCCTCTTCTTCTTCTTTCTTCTTCTTCTTTCTTCTTCTTCTTCTCCTTCCTTCTTCTTCTCGTCCGTGGACTTTTATATACTTACTACTGTACATCAATCAGTTGCTTGCGTACATATTTCCGAGTCCGCTCTCTCACCCTAGCGAGGTATGCATATATCAATACTCTTATCCCCCTGCCGATTCCTCCACAAGTCGCAATCCTTTGTTAGCTAGTATTGCTCTAATACTAATTCTGTTTCTAGAAGGCGATCGCGCCGGCTTTCACAATGCGCGCTTCGTCTGCACTCCTTGCCTACTCGGCACTGAGCTTTGGCCTCACCACGGCCCAGTTCATCGAAGCTCCGGAAACATACCACAACCCATATGGCGTAGTTTACTCTGCAATGCTCTTGGACAAAAACACCACCTCCCTTCGCGGGACAATCAACGCGACTGCCGGGCCGGGCGGACACGGCGTGACGTACACCGTCGAGTTCTGGGGCTTTCCAGATGAGTTCACATACGGGCCTTTCCGTTAGTAGCAGCACCCTATAAAACACCCTATTTCTCTACAGATCTGTAATTCTGACACATACACGCGCTAGCCTACCACGTCCACGATCAGCCTGTCAACAGCAGTGGTGACTGCCAGTCTACTCTTGCCCATCTCGACCTCACCTTCCGGGGTGAGCAACCACCTTGTGATAAGAAAAAACCTTGGACCTGCCAAGCTGGCGATTTCAGCGGCAAGTATGGAGATATCATGAATCTTACAAACGGCACTCATTACTATACGAAATTCCATGATCCATATACTTCTACGCGGCATGGCCCAGGCTCTTTCATCGGCAACCGCTCCATCGTTGTCCATTACAACAACATCACCCGTATCAATTGCGGCAACTTCTCGTTGATAAGCAATGGTACCACGCCTCCTACGCATACCAAGAAGCCTCCTCATATCTTGCCTCCTACGCATACCAAGAAGCCTCCTCATATCTTGCCTCCTACGCATACCAAGAAGCCTCCTCATATCTTGCCTCCTACGCATACCAAGAAGCCTCCTCATATCGTGCCTCCTACGCATACCAAGAAGCCTCCTCATATCGTGCCTCCTACTCATTCCGTACCTCATCCCAAGCCTCCTAGTCCTTATCCCAAGCCTCCTAGTCCTTATCCCAAGCCTCCTGCTCATACCATTCCGCCTCCCGTGGCTCCTTCTCGTATCTATCCTCCGTCGGCTCCTTATCCGAGTGCCCCGTCAATTCCAGTTTATCCGCCAGGACCGAATCCTTCACCCGGTCCGAGTCCTCCACCAGGCCCGGTTGTTCCTTTGGGCACGAGTTATTCGCCGCGTCCGACCACTCCACCAGGTTCGGGTGTTCTGCCAACGACCTCGGGAGCGCCAGGCCTCCCACCACAATCACCGCCGCCTGCTATTGGTGCTGCTAACCGTGTCGGTGCTGTCTCAGTCGGCATGGTCCTCGCTGGCCTTGCCGTTCTCATGTTGTAATGAGCAGTTCAGTTCAGTTCTAGGGAGGTCTAATCCCGGCGGAGTTTTTAATGATGGGGCAAAAGGAGAGAGAAGAAAGCCAAACAGAAAATGGAGCAACTTGAAGAAAAATGTATCGAAACTGTGTTCGACACTTTAGCTTTTGCCTATTCTTTTGGTTGTGTTTTGTTTTTGTCTAGTTTTTCTTTCTTGTTTAATTTCGTTTCATTTAAGGACGGACTAAAGAAAGTCTATGGAAGTGGTGTTTATCTTCTTTTGTTCTTATACCTATATTTTGTCCCTTAGTTAATTATCTCTTGTATTTCATTGCATGGGGGGGGGGGAGGGAAATGAAAAAAAAAAAAAAAAAAAAAAAATTGAAAAAAATGGAAAAATGGAAAAAAAAAAAAAAAAAAAAAAAAAAAAAAACATGAAAACCAAAAACCAAAAGAAAAGAAGAAAAAAGAAAGAAAAAAGAGAAAAGAGAAAAAAAAGAGAAAAAGGAAAAAAAGGGGAAAAATGTATATATATATATATATGTATATACTATTTGCGCAAGCATGTTCTATCCCAGACTCAAGTCTCCCGAACAACAAAGGATACACTTGTGTAAAGCGCCTTTGAAATTCTTTTTCGGCATTTATGTGGGCTGTTTTCCCCTTCCCTCCATTCCCTTTTTTCTCAATCTCCCAATCGAACTACTCGAACTACATGAAAATAATGTGCCCCCCATGTTAGTTTGTTAATGGAGAGTCGGTTTCCGGTAATCCGGGCAGGCGGGCGGCTTTGCTTTGCGGTACTTTTGCGCGCAAACGTCAGCTAATTCTAATTTTATATAGTTAGTTTATCTAGTTATATGTTTTTTTTTTAAAAAAAAAAAAAAAAAAAAAAAAAAGGGGGATACTCGCGGCCCCACTATCTTCTATTCTATAGTGGATAGTGGATAGTGGATAGTGGATCGTGAATTATAGGTGAAGATAGTGTGGGTGGGGCCGATCGAAACCCTCCAGGGTTGTTCCTTGGTTCTTCTATCTACCTAGGCGGGATTTGGTATCGGGTTTGGATCTTTGACTACCCCCTACCGTGTTGTGGCGGGCAGCCTACAGGTTGCGTTGGTGTTATGGTGGGTGCCATGGTAGCCGTACCTTCGTTTTTTTTCTCTTTTTCTATCCTTTTTCTGTATTTAATTTTATTTTATTTAAAAACCTGAAATATAGGGAGGGACTATAACTAATAAGTTAACAATGGCAGAGGCAAAATTTAAAAATGGTAACAGGTGGCTTCTTTCGCAATGACAAAGTACTGGCTTTATCTGTATCCCAGTGGAATGATGGCATTGAGGTAGCAACGGCGCAAGATATGTAGGTTGGTATGAGATGGTGGGAACAGATTTATCTCTGATTGTGGTACAGTACATCTGGTGCATCTGACCCGAATAGAGGAGTGGCTGATGGATACATGGATTGGCAAGTGGATAGTTCAGGCCACACAAAATCTTGTGATGGTAGAACTATGGATCCAACTCTCAGGTCGATCGATCGAGAAAAGCTACCTGCCACCCAAGATAATAACCAACCAGACAGACAGATACTATTATTAATAATAATAAGGGCGACAAAGCGACAAATTAGTTGTATTAGATCTCAAATCTCGAAATCCTCCTCCCCCTCGACCCCACCCTTTTACACTGCCAATACAACATATCATGTTTCCCCCCCCCATTAACACTCCCCACATCCCTCCGGTGGCCCGGCATCTCCCGCACCACCTCGACTCCCATGGTAAGTTCCTGGAAGTGTGCTAGAAACCTATACCCCCTCGGTAGCGCGGCAAGCCGAGCCCTCATCGGCGATGAGGGTGGCCCGGTAGCACCGTGACAGCGTGCGCGGACGCCCAAAGGTCGTTTTGGGAAATGAGGTGAGTATGTATGTACTGCACCTTACATTTTCCTAATAAGGAAGAATCAAGAGAGACCCGTGGGCCCCTTGGTGTGCAGTGTCCACCCTTTATCCAAGTATCAAGCATCCTAGCTATCCAGACTGGGACTTTGGATATCTGCGTCTAACCCTATGTCTTGCTTGGTCTTTGGGATTGCTGCATCTTGCTCCAACGGCGCTGGCCATTACCCTAAAACGGGCTTGTCCGGCTATATTCCTGCATTTGAAGCAAGAGCTGATCACCAGCTGAAAGCGTTCGAGACTTGTAGACCACATACTAGAATACCCATGAATGGCGTACCCTAGCTACCTACGTTCTGGTCAGTCAAAGAATCCAACAAGTGAGCAGAGAGGTGGGGGGGCTGTTCATCCCGCTATCATTTTTTTTTTTTTTTTTTTTTTTTTTTTTTTGTTTTGGTATTCCTCCTTGGCTTTTCTGGAGCCTGTCACAGGATTTTCTACTCCCAGGGGATATTCAACCCACGCATCGTGGAAATGTCGTATACATATCGCTGCTGTGATATTGGCCACGTGTTAGAAACGAGATCCATCCCTTGCAACGACCATCTATCTGCACGGCATTAAAATCCCCTTACTCCGTAGTTAGTTAGTTAACCTTATGTTTTTAGATCCTTCAACAAAGAGACTCGAAAAATTCCTTGCACGCAAACCCCCTGCACATAGCAATGACTTCTTTGAGTGACTTCGATTCATGCAGAGCCGGATATCTCCGTGGCCCACTCCATCCTCCAGCTCCCAGCTCTGGCAACCCGCCAACTGGTAAGAGTATATCGCCCCGTTGCCAATAGATTGCAGCTAGAATAGTTCGATCAAAAAGAGCCCATTTCGTAGCAACCAGGGTAAAAAATCTTCTGCCGTGAGCGCAAGGTCTAGGGTTAGGTTGGTTAACTAGTTACCCCAATCGGTAACTAAGTTAGAATAATTAACGTTAACTAAGTTAACTAATTAGGGCACACTTACCTAAGTACGTTAGCCAGATCGCACGGGGTTAACTCACTGGTTAACTAACTTACGGTTAAAAAGCTTATTTATATGAGAAGCTAAGTTTAACGTCAGAGCATTCAGGGCACTTGCAAGATAGAACAACTCCTGAGATGTCCATACTTACTAAGTCAATTAATTCCTGGCCAGATCTTGAAAATTACGAAACTGGAAGTACCTGCCCGCCTTCCCCTGGAGGGGAAGCTCATGTACTGTTTTTAATTGTATAAATCCTTATATATATGTTTATATATATTTCGATCCTGTGCAACTGTACCTTTACATAGCATACGGCTGTACCTATGTTTCCACGTTTATACAGATGCGCTTTGGCCCTAGATGAAGGAGAATCCACTGTCTTTTTGTTGCTTTCTTGTGCCGTGAATCGAGTCTTCGTTCCATAAGCCGTTTGTTTATCTGTCGCTCATCCTAAACATTTCATGGGCTGAAATCCCCCGACGGGGAGCCCGAAGCTTGATGCGGAGTGTTTCTAGAGTATAGAAGTTGCATCGGTATGTCTGCTCGACGGAGCAATATTCCACACTGAGGATTGGGGAGTTGAGTTAACAAAGAACAGGCAAGTAATTAGGTAAATACTATTGGATGGTGAGAGTACACCAAAAGTGGCCGTTCAAGTCTTCCGCCCAGCCCTTATTTTCTCGGGGATGCGAAGACAATCCTTTCTCCTTTTCAGCCTTTCAGAAGGATGTAATTGAAGATGAGCCTCTAGGCATATAGGTTGGATTGATATTATCAGAGGTAATTTGACTTTCATCTCAATCTAGGGTTTTTCTACTATGTACAGTTTTGCGTGCCTATTCCATGTTCTGGCGCGCGTGAGGTGCACAATCGGTTCGTCAGAGGAACCGTCGCGCGATTCGATTTCAAGACAACGGCAGGAGTGAACATGAATGCGAAGAAGGGCGGAGGACAACAAGGTTCTTAGGTCAAGGCTCAAAAATTGAAAAATTGAAAAAAAGAGGGAACAACCTACACATATAGAAAAGACGGAATGAGAACGGAGGCAATATATAAATGGGGATGGACTCACTTCGACAAGAACATCCAGATTAAATAAGAACATGACAAACCTCTACGAGCAAAACGAAGAGCAGATGAACTCAGCTATCACTCCACAAAAGGAAAATTCCAAACCGACCCTGCATCCCATCCATGTCCCTCGGCCGCGCCTGTGCCCATGACCTCCCCATAAAACTCTCCCAAGCCTCCCGCCACGGCTTCAAGGGCATAGAGCTGTTCTACGAAGACCTCGAATCCCACGCCCAGGCACTCACAGACGGCCTCACCCACTCCAACCAGCTCACCGCAGCCCAAGAAATCCGCCAGCTCTGCGACAAACACAACCTGCAAATCGTCACCCTGCAGCCATTTCTCTTCTACGAGGGCCTGCTGGACCGCGCGGAGCACCATCGGCTGCTCAATGGGAAATTAGCGCTGTGGTTCCAGCTGGTGAAAATACTGCGCACGGATATGATTCAGATCCCGGCGAATTTCCTGGGTCCGGACCCAGGCACTGGCAAGGCGCGGACGACGGGGGATTTGGATGTTATTGTTAGCGATTTGAGGGAGGTGGCGGAGCGGGGGGTTGCGGGAGGACCCGCCCGTTCGGTTCGCGTATGAGGCTCTTGCGTGGAGCACGCATGTAGGTACCTGGGAAGCGTGCTGGGAGGTGGTGCAGAGGGTTGATAGGGCGAATTTTGGCATTTGTTTGGATACGTTTAATTTGGCTGGAAGGGTGTATGCGGATCCGGCAGTGAGGGATGGGAAGATGGTTAATGCGGATGCGAATTTGAGAGCCTCGTTGGCGCGCTTGGTGGCTACTATTGATGTGCGGAAGGTATTTTATATACAGGTTGTCGATGGGGAGAGGTTGGAGAGGCCGTTGGTTAAAGGGCATGAATGGCATGTTTCGGGACAGCCGAGCCGGATGTCTTGGTCGCGGAATGCGAGGCTGTTTGCGTTCGAGGAGGATAGGGGTGGGTATCTTCCCATCCTAGCTATTGCTCGGGCTTTCTTTGACCTTGGATTCGAGGGTTGGATCTCGCTAGAACTCTTCTCGAGGTCGACTGCGGACCCAAAGCCGGATATTCCAGCAGCGCACGCGAGGAGAGGGGCCGAGTCCTGGAGAAAGTTAGTTCGTTATCTTGGGTTGAAGGTAGATGTCTCTTGGCATGTATGTTGATAACGTTTGCTGCAATGTAGATCGCATGGAAGAGGTTAAATAAAATTTATTTCCACACATCCATTTACCCCCTTCTAAATCCCTCCAAACCGGCAAAGCATCCTGACACAGCCAATGACGCAATTGTTCAACAGAAGGGGAAAAATTGATATTCTTGTACTGATCTAATTTAAACGGAAAAAACAGAACCAAGGAGTAAGAAAACGAAGTCATATCTTTGGTTGTTGACTTGGTCGTTGAAGACAAACACTATCATCATTAGTTCTCTGACCTAATGGCGCCTGTTCCTGGATTTAAACTCTCTTCGTGTATTTGGAACCCGTTTCATGAAATCATCGTTCATAGTTTTCGCGTATACAAGCTTCGGGCGAATCGTGTTGTTGTTGAAACGGTCGCGAGATGTAAAACATAGTCAGCACGAAATCAGAGGGTTCATGACGCCATAGAAGGCGCGATTGGAAATGAATGAAAACGCTCTAAAAAAACGAATCTCATGAGAAGAGTCCCAACACGCTCTTAGCAGGAAGTCAAAAGTCAAAACAAGTAAAGACGAGAAAGTGACATGCTGGTGAAATTTCTTGGTTAATAAAGCGAGACCGTAGACAAGTCACTTAATTGATAAATGAGCGCATCTATGCCTCTTGTGCCCACCGTCGCTCTCGCAGGGGCATGACTTCTCCTGCTCGAGCACGGCTTCCATCAACCTCGTGACGCCAAGCCCAATATTCACTCAGACGTAGCTCAGCATAAGAAGCATAGTCGAAGTCGATCTGGGAAATCGTCGCCTGGATCAGCGCCCATACGCCCCTATTAGTTTTCAATATTAGTTATGGGTTCTCTATTTTGCGATGGGGAACCAAATTTCATTCCATACCAATAGAAGCCTGGAATTCCACGGTATCGATCAACCTCCTCAAACAATTTCTCAACAAGGTCTTTCTGATTAGCTCCATTCAAGCCAGAATATTCAGCATAGCTCTTGACGTATTCAGTGAGGAATTCCCGCCGAACAGGCTGCGTCGGTATCTTGCTGAAATCGCAATCGTAACCAGCCCATTCCGCAAAATGGTTTGCGATATCAAATGCTGCTGGTGATGGTGTTGCATATTCATAGTCGATGAAGCTCACAGTTTCATCTCCAGTTGCATCAGCAGGAGTCGAACCCGGATCCTTTGGTAGAATGATGACATTGGCGCTCAAAAGGTCGCAATGGGCAAATACAAGCTACATCTTCATATTAGCATCTTGCGGATTAATGAGATAGTGCATGTAAACGTACCCCACCCTTCCCAAATCCCTCTTCCTTATCAAACTCCACAACTATTCTCTCAAATTCTTTTTGAAGATTCTTCCGCCTCGAGCGTTCTTGCTCTGTAGTTACAGGTAAGGCAAGAATCCATTTCTGCAAAACAGTCCAGAGACTAGTTCCTACATGCCGAGTCTTTACGGGTGTTATATCATCCACCTCCGTTGAGGTTGTGGAGGTACGGGTGGTGGGGCCAGTCATAGAATTCGTCTCTTCTTGCTTTCCTTGGGTCGAGGTCGTAGAGGGTTCTTCGTCGATTGGTAGTACCGCATGCCATTGAGCAAGTCGTCGCGCGATTGCACTAAAAACGCGCGGATTGTTCAGGTCATCGGGCGAAGTTACCTTCCCACGAATGAAGCGGTAGAGGAGGCCATTTTTAAACCTGGCAAGGAGCGGCGGGGCGAGACCCCGTTCAGCAAGCAGGGCATGTGATCTGGTTTCTCCTGTTTACAGGATGACATTTTAGTTCCCAATTCCTAACCGCTATTTTGGGGTCTACATACGGTCGCGGTCGATTAGTATTTCAGTGTTGTTTCCATAGGCTCTCATCAAGACTGCATCGTTGTCGATCTGTTCATCTGAGAGGCCTGGTACTCTTTTTATAATTTTCAGTAGCTATATCACAACACCAGGTATGAATAATAAGCACATGGTTTTCTCTTCGTTGCGATAACTGTCCATTACATACGGTATTGGTTATTCCATCCGTAAATCTAATAAATTCAATGTTTCCTTCGGAGTGTTCCCAGTGCGGGTTCAGCGTCAGCACAAGCCTCAGCGCTGAGGCTTGAGAATCAGCTTGATTGTATGATAATGGGATGTAGCGCAGAGAGGCATGTCCTTTGTCTGGCACGTTTCTAGAACCCATTCGGAAAGTTCTATATCTATAACGAGGGGTAGATGCGGTAACAGAAATAGGGAGGCAAACGAGAGTATATTCTAGAATCTAAAGAAAGTATCAACGGTCAGCCGTAGGTCTATAATAGTAGATTTCCCCGGAGCGTGCACCAGCTCTGGATAAAACAAAAGGCCCGGAGATCCTCAAGGGCCGTCTGGGCGGTAGTAGTGGTGCAGGCTACTAGGGTCGGATGACTGGCTCGGGGCCCCAGAAACCAGGTAGCAGAACAGGTCAATGAGGAACACTTTCTTAAGAGTGTTGGACACATACCGTAGAGCAAGAGTGTTGGTTTGCGGCAGAGAACAGTGCAATTGGAAGTGAAGACGTTGGTGGGAAAGTGGTCTCGTGCCCAGCGAGGAGAGTGGACTTACGGGGGAGCGGCGCGCCGAGCCATGGAAGTACTACGCCTCCACTTTTGCGCTGCGAGATACCTCCGGGATAAAATATTTCTGCAAATCACCCACTTTATCACGTGCGACCCGGCACCGGAACTCTGGAACCTTGTAGCCTCACGCTAGGTGGTTCATCATATAACTACGAACTCCAAGGACTCAAGGAGAGGTATGATAGTTACAGTAGTGTATAGATGGGACACATGCGCAGCTCCGTGCCTCCAACTAAATTTAATTTCTCGATTAGAGACCAAGCTGTGGTCGGGTCGGATGGGATACGCTGCGTGTTATGTGCCCATATAGCCAACCATTGCAAACCTAGCATTCATGTCATGCGCTCTGGTGCATCCTGCATAAAGAAAGAAATCCCATGTCATCTTAACTCACAGTTGTTCTTCGCCAAGATACCTATATTCAGAAACTATTTGAGACACATTATTTCCCATAGCCCCTTGCTTCGTTTATGGAGGTTTACACTCCGGCAAAAAGGGGGGAAAGCCCAAGAAATTCCGCGACTAGGAAAGTTGTCTAAAATGAGATTGGGATCCAGCAATGAATGTTAGAAAAAGATCGTGGCACCAATTACTGTTTCATGGCCGCATTGCTTCACGCCTTTTGTTCCCGAATGGTTTGAATACACCTAACTATTCCTGTGATGTGTAGCTAGAGCGATTTCAAGTTTTGGGATGCGTCAATGGGCGTGATTGGTGTCAAGAAACTTCCTGAGCGGAGCAAGACAGGGGTGCCGTACTGCAAGCTGCTGAGGATTCTTGCTGGGTAGCTAGCACTCGAAGAGAGTGCTGCAGAACTGAAAAATCGATTCTGTTCCCTCATTGAAGCTGAAAATTCGTTTGGAGGTTGAAAGTATCGAACCAATCTGTAACCCAAGCTGGTTTCAAATGTCTGCACCCGAGACTCGAGCTATGGTAGCTAAGACAAAGGCGCGGCTACAAACTTAACACCGGCCGTTCCATCCACTCTTCACCGGAGGAAGCCCAATATCAGAATTCAGGAACCGGTGGGAGAAAATAAGCCAGGTGGACCCGCTCCCCAAAGCAGCATAGCATTAGGGCTCGGCGCGGGTTCTCAACCCAATCCAGCTAAAAAAAACGCTATAGATCACGTGACACTCGATTTTTCTCTTTCCCTATAAAAGCGCATTTCCCACGCCGAAATTTTTTATCCTTTTTTCTTCTTTTCTTTTCTCCATCATCAGTAGAGGTTTACATAACCATGTAAATTTCAAAACCGGAGCTCCGCTACAATGCGGCTCGCTGAGGGTCATCCGTCCTTACACCACTTTTATTTGTGCGTTGTTTTGTGAGAAATGGGTTTCCTTCCGTTCCCAGCTCTGGAGACCGAATTTCCGCGTCGTCCTTTTTCCCAAATTAACTTTTATGGCTGGGCTTATTTTCCTGTGGGCTTTAGCTGTGGAGGAGGCGTGACATCTCGTATCGTCGCCATTCTCTGTTTGTTTTTGGTCGTTTGTCCGTGTTTAGACGTGGCCTGGTTGGGAGTTTTGCCTAGCGCGCCAGGCCGATTTTACTGCTATTTTGGGTGTGAAAATATGCGCCCCACGTGAAAAATATCAAGGCTGAAGCATTGAAGATCAAACTAGATTTTTGAGCAAAAATACTAATAATAATAATAATAATAATTGAACTACATACTTTGACGATTCACACCACTTTCCTTCGTAAAATTTCGCACGTTGTCAAGCTGTTCCGCCAAGGTCCGTGACCCATTTCCCCCTTCTCTTCCACCAATACAGGGTATATGCCGCATGAATACACGTCGGATACGCATCCTCGAAATTCACTGAAACGAAGATGCCAATTCGAAGGGAAGCTCTCGTTTATTAATTACTTGGGTCCCCAAAAAAATCAAGCAATCCAGCCCTGCACCACCAAACTCCCCAAATGCGGTGATAAAGATGCACGGTTAAAAACTGATTCTCCATCGTTTCCACATATATCATTATCTAAAATCATCAAACCCAGAGCATCCCTGCCCTAAACGTCCCTCTCTCGGACTTCACGCCTTCTTCGCCCGTCCAATCTGAATAATCTCCCCCGTATGTTTATCATCTTTGCGTAGGACAGGCCAGCTCGTCCCGTCCGCCTTTGCTAAGTTCAAGTCCATCTTCGTGCCCATGATTTGGAAACTGGACTTCTCCACATCGATGGGTGCGTAGAGGTTGAAGGTTTCCTTGAAGCGCTTGTTATCGGCGGTCGGGAGGTCCAATTCTATTGTAGTAGGCGAGGAGAAGTTAACTTTCGCGCTGGCTTTGTCAATCTTCTTGAGGTAGAGGGTGGCCATGATGGAGGTCGCGGTTTGGTAGAAATCGGTGCTGAAAGTAAAAAGTGCAAGGCGGTTAGCAAGTCTTTTCAAATATTTTCCGGCACATCCACCAACACGGCTCTCTAATCTTTCCAATTGGACGTATCTGCTGTAGTCGTCATGAATAATTCAAAACAACTCACCGAATATTATCAACCTTCTCCTCCCCTGATTTCTTCCCCTTCCCAAGAAATAAATGTCTAGCTCTTTCTTTACAGCCAATTATCTTCATAAACTCATCAAACTCCAGCACTCTGCGCTTACAACAGCTCCAACCTTTGCTCCCCTCATGGAAGATCGGTTGACCCGGATGATGGACGCATTTTTCATCATCCCGTGAAACGGAGGGTGAGTACTTCGCGTTGCAGCCTCTTCGACGACATGTCGCGCCCGCTTTGATTGCAAGGGAAGGGTCATCGGATTCCGATTCTGGTGGAGGAGAGGTCGTAGGGGTAGGGGTGTGCACGCCCGCGGCGGAGAGGGTGGTTGGGATGTTTCCAATGGCTATGGGAGTATGCTTAGGGGTAGTGTCGGGTGCTGCCTGGGGTGTCTCCTTTTGAGGCTCTGGAGCTGGCGTGTCATCGACTGCTGAGTGTTTCCCCGTCGTGCATGGTGGGATGGTCAGGAATTCGTCGAAGCTGAGGACGCGGGGCTTACAGCATTTCCATCCTGCAGTGGCAAAGCTCTGTCAGCTAGCTGCGATGCTTTTTGGAGGAATTCTCCTCCCGCACTTATTTTCCTGGATTCTATTCGGGGCCCTCCTTTGATCTCGCGTTTTGCTTCTCATATATAGTTGTCCAAGTAAGAAGTCCAATTTCACAGCGTCATTGGGACTGACCTTTGTGGCCTTCGTGAAATTCAGGCGGGCCTGGATGATAAGTGCACGGTTCGTCAGGGTCCGTAAACACCTTGCCGCAGCCCTTGTGTACACACTTTTGCGCCATATTTTGTTTTATGATATATTTCCCAGTAAATAGGCTCTCTCAATTCTGTTAGGAGTTGGCTGATAGTCCGTAGATATTGAGTCTGAGATGAGTTTTGGTGGGATGTTGGGCGGTCTGGAAATATTTTAAGTACTTACATCATCCTCGATGCTTCCTCGGAGCTTTTGCTGGGCGCCAACGCCCCCAAACCCATCGAAGCTTCTGGTGCCATAACGAAGACCAACCACCCGTGCTTCTTTGCATTTTGCAGGTAGATTATATCTGAGCAATATCAAACAGGGCAACGCTATTATTCCCCAGCTTATTCTTGCCAAAGCAAAATCCAGGATCGCGTATGTGCCCTCTGATGAATACACGGGCTCAAATCGCTCACAGTTTGTTCCAGTGATTGACCTGACACGGCACGATGTACCCTACACGCCGCCTGCTCCAAAGTACTCGACTCACTCTCTTCACACGCATCAATTGCTCGCTATGCGATACGGCAAAATACACCGTAAAAAACCTACGGGAAAAGAGACCATTCTTATATTCAGAAATTGATGTGATGGTCCCACAAAATAAAACGTGGAAGGACATTTACGAGTTTGACGTACCGGTTCTACACGTTCAGCGCGTAATGTTTAAATCCAGCGATGGACGCGAAACCCTATCAGACCCGAAGAAGCTATTTCATCGATTTACCGAACAGGAGGTTGAGAATACAATAAAGGAAGTAGAAGAATAAAATAAAATATTACGGCTTGTGTGGTGTGGTTATTATGCCCCTGGGACTATATACTGTATGCCGCTCCATAACACCTCCTGCGGGGGTCATATGGAGGACTCCTCATAAACCAGCACGAGCAGTTTTCAGTGAGTTCGACAGATGGGTAGGGAGAGCAGCGATGTCGGAAATCACAGATATCTGTATGGAACCGTCAGCACTCGATGCAGTGGACGAGAAGATATATACAATATGGAATCCAAGTCTCGTCTTACCATATGGAACCCTTGCTCCGCGTACTTCTTTGCGGACTCGCCATCTGCGCTATAAATTCCAGCCCTCTTACCGTTGTTGACAGCCGCTTTGCGAATCCTTTCAATTGCAGCCACCAAGTCCGGATGGAAATCACCCCTAACAGGTCGGCCAATATTGTTTCCCAGGTCCCAAGGACCGATCAGGAGCACGTCTAACCCTGGAACCTTTGCGATTTCTTCAACCTAAACCGTTGCAAATCAGATTCCAGTTAGCTTCCCAAAGTTTTATATAGGGGAATAGAATCAAAGAATGTCTTAGCCCGTTAATAAACCTTTCTGCAATCCATACATTTTCAAGAGCCTCCTTAGTTTCTATCTGAACAATTGTAACCAAGGCTTCATTCGCCTGAAACAAATAATCTGTTTGGGAAAGAGTTCCAAATGACGCCATGGGAAATGGGCTTCCAAAGCCTCTTTTGCCCAGGGGAGGGAATTTGGCTGATTCGACTAGTTTCTTCGCATCGTCTACCGTGTAGAGGAGGGGGACCACTATTCCATGGGCTCCTGCGTCCAAGGCACCTATCGTAGGAGTTAGCATCGGGTTGAAAAGGGAACCATTGCAAGAGTATACATACGTTTAACCATCCACGACTCGTTGGCAGCGATGCGTACAACAGGACTAACACCCGTAGCGGCAATTGCAGCCACGGCCTCGTGCATTTGGGCGTCTTTTATAGTTAGAATGAGCAATGGTTAATAATCCGGCCAAAAAGCATTGACACAGCAGTTGATGCACAAGTTCAGAAGCCTTGCCCCAGATTCGTAGCAATACAACCATCCCCTGTATCTAATAGAATAAACACAGGACATTGTTTCTTTCGTCCTTTAGGTATTTACCTGCAATGTTGCCGTGCTCCGTGTCAACACAGATCCAGTCAAAGCCGCTTCTGGCCATGAGCCGGGCAAGGTTGGCCCCAGGAAGCATTTGCCATGCGCCGAACGAAATGCCTCTGCCCGTCCGAAGGGCTGTCTGTAGACGGTTGGCAGCTTGCATTGTTGTTGATTATAAGGACTCGCGGTAGAGGTGGATTGAACGGAATATCACTATGATGTAAGTTACCTTGTCTCATTGTCTAGCCAGCGACAGCAGCGATTTCGTCATACTTTTCCTTCTCTTTCTCCCTTTTTCTTTTTTTTGTTGGTTCCACCAAACATCAGCACTCAAGCGACAATATCTTCTCCACTTTGCGTCGCCGAAGATCCCACCTCATTTTACACCTCATTCTTATAAAGTCTTGCTTTGATAGACAAAGCAGAATTATCTTCAACAGAGCCTTCATCTGGTATCCGCGACATTACATTATTGCTGTCACTCACCAAGCGCCTCTGAAGAATTTTAATACCATGTAGATTAATAATGGTATTTCACCTGAGATTGGCAACTGTTCATGATCAAGAACATTTTGCAGAAATGTCAGTTAATATTTACATTCACTAGATTGCTCTCTTCTTGAAACTCTCTATCCTAGTGAGCTGTCAATGCTGGTGACAATTTTACATACTGATCATTGAAAGATTATTGCAGTGAAAGTTGAAGATATGACTCTACATGAAGAATGAGAAGAGATCAAGACAGCCTTGAAATTTGAGATAATGAAGAGCATGCTGCATGACTATGAAGTTCAAAGACACATCATGCAATATTACAGATGATGAGAGAAAGCTAGTTGACAGTTTGAGTACAGCACATGAACAGGTAACATAAGAAGTTCTTTCTGAGTATAAATGTTATGTGATAAAGGCATGAATTATGTTCAAAAAGAAGTTCTCATGAAGCTATCTTCTTGCAGCTTTTTCCAGAACAGGTGAGGCACAAAGCATTGTCATTTATTTACAGATAAGAGTCACTCAGACCAGAATATCTGTTTCTTCAAAATCAAATATATTACAGATACTAAACCTATCATCATAGCTGATTCTGATCATACATAGAGCATTCTCATTGAGTGTTGTTGAAAGAGATATAGATAAACAATTTGTGATCATCAGTTCTTCTCTATTCTTTTTCTCTTTTCATAAATTGCTCATTTTCATTTCAGTATGAAATGGTTCAGAGAGGTTTGTAATCATATATCAATTCATGAATGAGAATGACCAGTATCAATCATCTCATGGCAGAATCAGATTTCCTGTGAATGTCAACTACTGAAAGCTCATGAAAGATAGTATACAGACCTAGAATCTGCTGTGATTCTGGAAGAGGTCACTTATCTTGATAATAGAAACTTAGATTGGGCTGCTGCTTCTGAGAAGTGAGACTCCTGATGATAACAAGATCTATAGTCTCAGAATTTTGCAATTCATCCATTCAGCAAGGTTCAGTTGTGGGTACAATCAAGTCTGAGGGTTTTGACACACTTGTCACATCTATTGACAGTCAGCACTCAGCAAGACCTGCAGAGCAAAGACAGGTGGAACATACGGTATACCACTCTCAGAGCAAGGTATTTGGTATCTGATAGCAAGCAATTGCATAGTAGAATGATTCATAGATATCCTCACAACTCTGGATTTGGCAAACAAGGAGATCACAATACAATTCTTTCATACCAGCAGCTTTGGTTTGGCCAAGGGTCGCAGTGCATATTAAAACCGCTTGGGGACCTGATTCTCGGAGGACATTGTAAAGGAATCGTTTGTACTTTTTGCGTCTGGCTGGCTGAAGTCTGTGCTTCTACAACGCTTTTTGTCTGGGCAACCCTCACGCTTCCCTGGAGCTTGAGATCCTCAATGGTGCAGACAACCTTATCCCAAGCTTCGTTAGTCTGAAGAGGTTTATGGCGCGAGAGACGTTCTCTACGCGGGGCCGGTTGTTGGTTTTCCATAATCGATGGAAAGTTAGTTTCAATATTGATATACTGTACATACATACACGGTACACCTGGAGAAAGAATGGAAAAGACCTCGGGAGATGAGTGAGATTGGCACATGACTACGGAGTAGTGTGGAAGTGAAATGATGACATTTGTATGCTTCGTGTCATAGTTATTATTATTACCTGAGGAGCTAATGCCCAAAGAACAAGGTCAATTAACCTATCACACTTCGCCCCAACCGACCAAGGGTAAGGTAACTAAACAACTCCATGCAAATCGCCCAACCTCACTCAGTTTTTGTCTCATCATCACCCAGACCTTGCAGACTCTACCACTTAAGACGAACATTGAGTGTTTAATATTAGCGCCCAGATCCAGTGAGGTTTCTGAAATGCAAGTACTGTGTGGACCTAACCCAAACTGGATGGGCTCCCTTTTAACTGTCTGCCAATTCACACTCCTTCAATTATAAAGACCAAGCTCCACCATTTCCTATCTCCTTAAAATGCCTCGTCATCAAATGATGCCCAGAATCAATAAACCTGAGTGTCAAACGCCGATAGTCGCCAGAAAACGCCAGGCACCCGAAGACAAAGGTAATATCTGGGATGTCCCGGGAACGTCCTTACTGTATTTGGGTCTGACTTGTTATAGGGACACATGTTAAGCAAGTGAAGAGAGAGCAAGAGGAACAACGACCGAGACCCTACCGTAGGAGCGCGCGCCTAAGCAGTAAAAACGCCCCTGTATGTGCACTTCCTCAATTGTATGACGGCGATATGAAACTGATTAATCGGAGCTATTGCAGGAGCCTCCCACCTGCATCCACAACCGAGAACAGAGTACAAAACCAAATCATAAACGACCTTGTGAAGATCAAGCGCCCTCCTCCCTCAAACGACCTCGATTGTCTACGAGCCTAGCTATTGAATATATTTTTGTGGAAAAGAAACGTGATATTGCTAGCTGGAAGAAGGTTGACCTGATCGGATATTGGTGCAAGAACAATCGCTGGCCTATAGACTATTTCGAAGCACAGCCTGGAGAAAACATGAGCCACCTACTTGCAAAGAAAAAGTCAACGGCTTCTGTTCGCTGCAAGAACTCAACCTCGAGTCTCGCTACGGGCTCCAACACACCCACTGATCAAGAATCGAGAGATGGAAAGAGCGCCAAATACAGAAGCGCTACCTATGAGACTCTCCTTGCCACCAAGGGCAGCTTTATGGCTGAATCCGAACTTGAAGTAACAGAAAACAGCAAAGAGATTTGCAGGACACTACTTGATGAGAAACAGATGATTCCTGAAGGCACAATATTTCAGAATGATCGGTTCCGGAAGGCTTGTCAAAAGCTACAGACTAAAAATGAATCAAGGGTTGTTCAAGATATATCTCGGTTGATTGTCCCTTCGGCAGAGACATTTGCTACATGTGGCGCTAAGAATTTAGAGTGTTTGACTGAAAGTGTCAATGAACAGTGGGCTTCCTCCATTGCCTTCTGTGGACCACGCCCGCAGCCTGATTATGCGGTTGGCTTCAGCCGTTCTGCATTCACAGAAGACCAGCTGAAGAAGTTTGAGCCATTCCTTGGCTACGACCTGGATTCCTACAGCTCCTTCTTCCTAGCCACCTTCTACATGTACTTTCCCTTCTTGACCAGCGAGGTGAAGGGTACCGTTGCACTTGACATTGCTGACCGGCAGAATGCACACAGTATGACTCTTGCTGTGAGGGGTGTTGTTGAGCTGTTTAAACTGGTGGGACGGAAAGAAGAGGTCAATCGCGAGATCTTGGCTTTCTCAATCTCACATGACCACAGGACAGTGAGAATCTACGGCCACTATGCTGTGATTGAGGGGAACAAGACTTCCTTCTACCGTCACCCCATCAGAATGTTTGACTTCACGGAGCTTGACGGCAGAGAGAAGTGGTCTGCTTACACATTTACAAGGAATGTATATGAGAAGTGGGCGCCAGATCATCTGAGAAAGATCCACTCTGCTATTGATGAGATTCCTCCTGGAGTAAATTTTGATGTTTCACAGTCAGAATTTGAACTCTCTCAATCAAGCGTCTCATCTTTTTTGAATGAGGATAACAGTCAAGAAATCTGTGCACTCTCAGCAGAAGTTACACTCAATACGTCATTCACTCAGCAGACGCAGGTATTGAAGCGGCCACGGAGGCAGAAATAGTGTGAAATATCAACACAGCTCTTTTCAGAATATTATTATTTGAATTATTCTTTATGTGATATGTCAGATAAGTTGTAAAACTTAATAAAAATAAAATCAAATTAAATTTTTATTTATACAAGTCTTAATCACTTACTTATACTCGCTTATTCAGCTTGTAAAACATGTCATTTAATCTCTGAGATGAATATAATAAGATACATGAATAACTGTATCTGAATTATATAGGTGAAAAAGATGAATAATACTATAGTAGCATACTGCATTGTAGAGTTAATATAGAAGTTTTAAATAAAATGTAATTAAATATTAAACAGCTTATATAAAGATTTTAGCACTGCAGTATTCACTCTTAATACTTCTCAGAGCTTTTACTTCTCTCTTCTTTCACTTCTTCTTTCTTCTACTTCTTTCTTCTTTCACTTCATTCTTATTAAGTTATTTCTCTATCTAGTATATTTACTCATGCTACTTCTCAGAGCTTCTGCTTCTTTCTTTTATAAAGTTAATCATGATAAACAGACAAGCATGTACTTATATATATATATAGAGGCGCCCGCTCATCTTCATCTTAGAGAATAAGACAAGATTTATCACTTTACACGCACTATATATAGTTGATGTACACTGCAGTAACTACAATATAAATAATCAGTAATTGAAATATAGTACAATTTATTTCACTTAAATCATCTGTAATACAATTAAATCAGTTAAAATGAGTCAATGACTGAATATAAGTAGAAAACTGTCAAAAAATGAAGAAAAATAGCTCAGAAATAATGAAATTACAGCTAATAATATATAGACTACTGAGGTAAAAGAGCTCAATTATCATCAGCACACTGCTGATAGAAGAGCTGATTAATTACAGAGCTCTTAATACTCTCTCTCAGATCAGTTATCACAGAGTATAGTACTTTCTCTCAGTGACTCTCTTCAGTGACTTCTCACAGTGACTTCTCTTAGTGAACTCACTCAGTTCTAGAGCTTAAGAGACTTTTAAAGCATACTTCTGAAATATCTCTTAGCACTGTTAAATGTTCAGAGTATTTATTGAGAATTTTTAAGTTCATTCTGAGATCAAACTCATGTATATTGATCACAGCAGAGCTCACACTTAACAGTCTTATAATCTGTAAACTACTGAGATAAAAGAGCTCAATCATCATCAGTGCACTGCTGATAGAAGAGCTGATCAACCACGAGACTCTCAATATAATAACTTTTACAAAGTAAGCTTAATAAGCTCAGTGAGCTTTTGTCACGCTCTCAGCCGCGCCAAGGCCTCACTGCGGTTTCACATAACTCATTACTTTCATGTGAATAATTTCATCTCATCTGAACTGGTTTTCAACTACTCTATAATATCATTCAGATATATTATAGAAAGATCTGATTGATAAATAAGAGAATCTCACTTCTATATAAGGTCAGCAGATTACTCTTTCTTAGTAATGAGATACTGCTAAGATATCACTTCAGCTATTCTTACTTATAAAATGAGAGAAGAGTATTCACTTATTATCTATATAGAATAGCTAGATACTGGCTTCTTATTAAAGAAGTTAGTGATTTATTTCTTTTCTTCTACTGAAATATATACAAGAGTTACTGTGTATCTCATATAATCTTCTTAGTATACTAAGTATTATATCTATGATATTCTCACAATAACTCTGTAGTCTATAAGCTTACTATTCAAGCAAGATAGTCAAGCTTACTTATACAGCTTCTTAAATAACTATCTCTATATAACACTGCTGACTAGTCATTACTTCAGTTTTATTATATTATAATTCAAATTACTTAATCTGATTACACATTTAAATCAGTTGAGCTTTAATAAACTGATATAATCTCATACACTCACACTGAGACTGATCTGATCTCACTCTCTGAGAGAAATACTATATCATTCTCTAGAGTGTGTACATCTCTACTCTGATAGAAATCTGAGATTTCTGAACTTGCTGTACATTTTAACATGAGCTCTTCAACTGCTCTATCACTGTTACAGCCTCTACACATCTACATCTATTATAAAGATAGAGAGATTAAGATCAGAGATTTTCTGAGATATAAAAGAAACATCTTATCTGAATTTCACAGCTTTATCTGTATTCTTGAACAGAAATTCCGCCTTAATCTGAGTCAGTATAATACTTATAAGATATGAGTAATCTACACTGTCAACCTTCTTGAAGATATCTCTGTGACTACTTAAGCTATCAAGAAGAGAAAGCTTGAGTGTATTAATACTGTTATGACTTGAGAAGAATTCAAGAACTTTCTACTGAATCAAATTGAAGATCACTGCAATCACAGCTTTACAGCAGCACAGTGATTCAACATATTATATTAACAAGATAATAAGAATTCTTTCAATTTTAATACAAGATTTGAAGAATATTGAGAGAAATTGACTGATGATTTGAATCAATTAAAAACATAGCTTTATCTTATGAAGCTGACTTATAAGATATGAATAATAATATTATAGTATCAGAGTTTATTAATCAATTGCACTGAGCTTGTCAACCTGGCTTTCTGAATCTATTTAAATAATTAATTCTCTGAGAAAAAGATTAATAAGACCTCTTCTAAGTAACTTATAATAAGATTTAAACAGTGCTGTGATAACTTCAGTGTAGAGAAAGTAAAGAAGAATTTCAAGTATTCTGATTCTTCACTCACTGTGAAGAAATATTAAAAAAGATTTGATAAAGATCTCTGTTTCAACTGCAGAGCTGATAATCACTATATCAGTGATTGCAAGAAGCTGAAGAAGAGAAGAAACTGAGAAGATATCTTCTTAAAGTTAACTTCTCTTCTAACAAATGTATTCATGAAAGATAAAGAAGAGAAAGAAATAAAGAATTGATAATTTTTATATCTCTGAGTTCATATTACAATTACAATGTATACTCTGAATGAGAAGATATCAGTGAGATGTCTACTCAACTTCAGAGTAAATACTAACTTTATATTCTATTTCTTTTCTTTGATGAAGAATTAAAAGAAGATAGATCTGTCAGATCATGTGAAATTTACTGATGAAATGAAATATCACTGTTTTGACATAATTCAAGCACAGTGTGTAATCACAGACTCAGAAGAAATCTTCAAGAAAAGCAGTCTACTTCTTCACACAGTTAATATTATAGATAAGAATGTCATTCTAGATCTTCTGTAATTGAGAGAAAACAATTCTCTCATTAACTGAGTCACTCAGACATGACAGTATCATCTCACTGATGAAGAGACAGTGATAGAGAAATCTGAAGAGTTTTATCAGAAGAATCTTGAGAAAAAGATTGAGTTAATATACTGTGTAGCAGATGACTGAAACTTGAGAACAGATGAAGAAGTCATCACTCTCACTGCAAGATTAGCAGCAGTATCTGTTATTGAAGACAGATATACATGACATCTCTTTACAGATTTTAAAAATGTCTTTTCAGAAAGAGAAGTAGCAAAGTTTTCTGACATCAAGATATAATATAAGATTCATCTTAAAGATGATGTAATAACACTGTACAGGTCTCTTTACAACTTGTCTATAAAGAAATTGAATGTTCTGTGCAAATATCTTGAAGAAGTGCAATCAAAGAACTGAATACATTTATTAAAGAGTTCAGCAGAGATGTCTATACTCTTTGTATTCAAGAAGAATAATAGACTATGTCTATGCATAGACTACAGAGATCTTAATAAGATGATGATTAAGAATTACTATTCATTACTGTTAATTAACAAGATAATTGATTGATTATCTGAAGTAAAGATGTTCTCAAAGATTGATATATAAGATGTCTATCATAGAATCAGAGTTAATAAAGACAATATTTGAAAAACAGCTTTTCATATCAAGTATGATAATTTTGAATATCTTGTTTTATCTTTTGATCTTTGTAATGCTTCAGCCATCTTTCAGACTTATATAAATGAGATGCTGTGAGGTCTTATTGATATCTCCTGCATAGTATACTTAAATGACATTCTAATCTTCTCAAAAACAGAGAAAGAACATGATACTCATGTTTGAGAAGTGTTAAGTCACTTGAGACAGTATTAACTCTATATAAACACTGAAAAATGCTCATTCTACATACAGAAGATTAATTTCTTAGATTATATTATTGAAGTAAATGACATTTCAATGAACAGAAGTCAGGTCTTTATTATTAAGAACTGATCAGTGCTGCAGATATACTGTGAAATGCAGATATTTCTAGAATTTGTGAATTTCTACAGATAATTCATCTATGCATATTCACAGATTACTGTCTCTCTTACAGATCTGTTAAAGAGAAGTGTGAAAGACAGAAAAATAGAACTATTTATTCTCACTCAAGACACTGTGCAGATGTTTATAGAATTAAAACAAGCTTTCACAGATGTTATAATACTGAATCACTTTAATTCTGACTTACTCAGTCAGTGTGAGACTGATGTATCTGAAAATAAGATCTGTGAAATCTTTTCACAGTTGACACTAAAGGTCTTTTAACATTGAAAGAATCAGGGAATAATTATTTCTGAAGAAACAGGCAATGAATTGTCTGTGAGAGAAGGCTTTTTCATAGAGTCTATAAAACACTGTGAATAAAGATCAGTGATCTTTCTCTCTAAGAAGTTATTACTCACACAGAGAAGATATGATACTCATGATCAGAAGATATTAGTAATTATTGAATTCTTTAAGATCTGACAACATTATCTTCAGAGTAGTAAGTACTTAGTACAAGTTCTCACTGATTATGCAAATCTGCATTACTTCTTAATAATAAAGAGCTTGACAGAATGTCAAGTCAGATGAGTGAAGCTGCTTTTAAAGTATGATTTCTATATCTGATACTGTTCAGATCAGCTTAATTCTGTTAACACACTGTCTAGATAATCTGATTATAATATTGTTAATACAGAGAAGAATTCTATAAAAGAATCTCTGTCATCACTGTAGAAGAAGCTGACTGCAGAGAATTAAGATTCTCTGA